CAAGATCATTGGGAGATTTCATCAACTTATGCATGTTAAAAGTGACTTGCTCATCATCTACCCTCATAGTAAGCTCACCTTTTTCAACATCAATCAAGGTTCTAGCGGTTGCCAAGAATGGTCTTCTTAAGATAATAGGAATATCACGATCTACATCACAATCAAGGATAATGAAATCAACCGAAAAAATGAATTTATCCACTTTTACAAGAACATCTTCAATAACACCACGTAGATAAGCCAAGCTTCTATCCGCTAATTGCAAAGTCACGGTTATTGGTCTAGCTTCACCCAGCTCTAATTTATTGAAAATAGAGAGAGGCATAAGATTGATACTAGTTCCAAGATCACATAATGCCTTACCCAAAAATTTATTTTCAATATGACACGGAATTGAGAAGCTACCGGGATCCTTCAACTTTTGAGGTAGTTGCTTAATGAGATCCGTACAACTCTTGGTTAGAGCAATCATCTCAAACTTATTGAACCTTTTCTTTTTAGAGAGCACATCTTTCATGAACTTAGCATATTTGGGCATTTGCTCTAAAGCTTCCACAAAAGAAATGTTGATATGCAATTGCTTGAACATATCAAGAAACTTTTAAAATTGGCCATCTTCTTGTTGCTTCCTAAGCCTTTGAGGAAAAGGTGGTGGAGGCACATATTTTGGCTTGGCCTCTTGTTGCTTTTTCTCATCACCAACCTTTTTGGCTTGATCTTCATTCTTTCTTTCTTCTCGATTATTCTTTAAGTTGTCACACTCTTCAAACACAATTTCTTCATTAATCACTTCATCATCAACAACTACCTTAGTAGCACCACTACTTACACCACTTGCACTTGGCATAAGAACTTCGGGTAATTGCATCCCACTTCTCAAAGTGATTGCTTTACACTCCTCCTTACTATCCCTTTTAGGATTTGGAATGGTGTCACTAGGGAGATTGTTTCTTGACATGACATTCATTTGTGAAGCTAATTGTCCCATTTGCACTTCGAGATTCTTAATTGCAGTATCATGAAGGGTAAGAGTTGCCTTAGTTTCAACTCTTGCAGATTCTTAATTACTCAAGATTTGTGCTAACATCTTTTCCATTCTAGACTCCTCTTCCTTAACCGACATTGGCTTTGGTGGAGCTTGAAAGCCCAGAGGGTGAATTGGCTTGACATTAGAGGATGAAGGTTGATTTGAAGAATTCCTTTGACTCCATGAAAAATTAGGATGATTTCTCCATCCTGAGTTGTAGGTTTGAGAGTAAGGGTTGTTATGAGTATTTTAAAACTTGCCTATATGGTTGACAGACTCAGTGGTCATATAAAGAGGACATTGATCGGGCATTTAAATATCATTGCATTGATTGCACACAGTTGGAATGGCTTGGACAGCATGCACATTATGAGAATTTTTCCTTTGCATTTGAGATTCCAACACATTAAAACGCTTGTTCATTGCATTCAAGATGGATACAATCTGGGAAGAGAAATCATCTTTAGTACTAGTCACCATTGATATATTCCTTCTATCTGTGTTTTGAGTGTTGTTCGTAGACAATTGATCTAAGAGGCGAAAAACTTCATTGACAAGCACATTTTGATATCCCCCATTTGTGATAGAATCAACCATGGCCTTAGAAGATGGATTCAGACGATTACAGAAAATCTGAATCACTACCCATTTGTCCACCCCATGATTAGGGCATTTCTTCATCAACATCTTATATCTCTTCTAAGCTGCATAGAGATGCTCATCTGGATATTGCTTAAAGCTAAGAAATTCATCTCTTGCTTCCACCGTTTTATCATCAGAGAAGAATCGAGCTCTAAACTTGTTCTCAAGATCCTCCCATAAACTAATAGAACCCTCAAAAAGATTGTTAAACCATTCTTTAGCCTTGTCTTGTAGAGAAATTAGGAATAATCGCAAGTGTAAGACATCTTTAGGCACCCCGTTTTGTCTGAAAGAATCACATACTTCTACAAAAGACATCAAGTGCTTGTTAGCATCTTCATTGAATAGACCATGAAACACACCATTCATTTGAAGTATTGTGATCATGGCAGGCTTGATCTCAAAAGTATGTGCTTGAAACTCTGGCATTTGAATACAAGATTAAGTACCCCTCAAATTTCGGTTAGCAAAGTCATTGACTGAGGCGGTGTCATATTGGTCTTCTGCCATGTTTCTCGATTGAGTTGCAAGAGTTCTTTCAGAATTAGGAGACTCGACTTCTTCAAAGATTGTCAATCCTTCAAGTATCACTTCCAATCCTTCTGGGCCTATGGCTTGCATATGCCAAATGGGTACCTGAAGAAGAAAACAACCAAAGGAGTATCAAACTAAAACAAAAACACTAAACAAAGACAAAATAAAAATCTAGAACTAATATCTACAAAGCTCAAGCGAAATCTACTATCACTAGTCTAAGGTTGATTAAAATATTTTTAAAAGCAAATCTCTAGCAATGGTGCCAAAAACTTGTTGCTAACCGCAAGTGTACGGGTCGTAACAAGTAATATAAAATGAGTAAAGTATCGTTCCCCCAAGGATTTATTTAAAAACTATAATCAAGCAAAAGACTAAGCAAATTTAATCAAGTTGAGCCACACAAAGTTAGGTAAAAATAATTTTTTACTTATGAAGCTAACACTAGAAAATAAAAAAAAGTGAGTGATTCATAAATTTCAAACACAAATTAGGACCTAGGATTATTTATTCCCCTTACATTTCATAACACCAAAATTACCTCCTCTTATAATTGCTTTTAATGAAAATAAGTGCTAACCTAGGGTTCTAAAAATACTTGGAAGTCATGAACAAGTGTTTAGTTAAATTAATTGCCCAATCTCTTGTTACAATTAATAAAACTCAATTTTGAATACCAACCCTAATGTGGCTATGTAAGGCTAGCAAGTATATCTCTATCTTACTAGCAAAACCATCCATTTAACATGCAAATATCAAGTTCTTACATAATTTTACTCAAGTTCTACACTCAACCTAGCCCTCTCAATCATCAATTAAGTGAACCCAAGATCTAAATGGTGGCCAATCAAGTAGAAGCATTAAGGAAAGAGTAAAATAAATACATATATATCATTAATCACAAAAAGAGAGGAGAAATATAGTGTTAATCCATATAAGGGTTCCAAATAATCCTAGAACAAAGGGTTTAGCTACTCATAATCATCCACAAGCTACAAATATACAAAATAAGTGTACTCATTTCAGATTACAAGAGACGAAAGGGAAGAGGAATAGAAAAATCGAAGAAAATGAGCTCCAAATGTCTTCAAAGCTTTAATCTCTTGATCCCAACTCTTCCAATGCCCAAACCCTAGTACAACCAAGCTCCAAGTGTATCTAAAAGTATGAAGAATCCATTCTGGGTCGAGCTCTCAGCTTATATGTATCCTAGCCAATTAATTTCTGATAAATGAAATGCAGCGTTTTTCTGACAACGGCGAAAGTCGCGAATGAAAGTCACGACTTTGGGATGACTTTAGCAGTTCTGCACTGTTTTTATAGCTAACCAAAATCATTCATTTTGCTCTTGATTTCTTCATCCAAAAGCCTTCCAAAAACCTCCACAAAGCTCCAAAAATGCTTCTAATCAAAACTTCAATCAAAATAACATGAAATTAGGCTAAAAATATCAAATTAAAGCCAAGAACACAAGCCCAAGACAAAATGCATATTTTCTTAATTTGGGCAATAAAAACATATACAATTGAACTAAAATGGATTAGAATATACGGAAAATGTGATGAAATAACATGAACCTCTAGAGGTTAACAGTTATAGGGAAGGGATTTCTACAAAAGGGTCTTATTGAGAGAGGGAGAAAAGGGAGATGCCACTTGGGAATGTAAAGAGGCAAAGATGTAGAGAGAGAAAAAATCCAATGCCATGTGTTTGGGCCCACACTTAGAATAACAATTGTTTGTACCATTTTAACAATCAGGCCAAATTGCTCTAAATTTAATTGTTTAAGATTTAAAATATATAAAAGATGAGTTTAATGTTCAAATTGTCTCAAAGGTCCAAATTGCATATTAAACACTTTTTTTCATTTCTCCTGGTCTATTAAATTTAATTTATTTACAACATTAGTCATTATAATTTTATATATACCCAAAAGGACTTAATTTCATTAATATGCACATAAGCTTTGCTAATTATTTTAGTAAGATGTTAAAATTATGATGAATTTCATAAGAAACAACTAATAAGCAGGAAAAAAAAAGCTAAAAGATATTACAATTTTCCATCAATGTAGGGCAGGAATGTAATCATCATTCTTCAAAATTTTTGTTCACCCCCTTCCGCCCTCTTTGATTTAGGTGAACGGTGTTACAGCTCCATTTTCCTCTTCAATTTACTTTTTCTATGAATGTACTTGTTTGTTTCCTTTTGTTTTTGCTTTCTGCTCATTTTTTTAAATTACTTAAAAGTATTATTTTATTAAAAGTAATTTTGTTCGAGATATAGTTGAATATTAAAAATGTGAGCATCCTTTCTAACAAAATTTAAATTTTAATTCGTCATATTATAAATGACTAATTCATTTTCCTATACTCAACCTCCATTGATTTCAATTTTTAACATTATAATTTTAATTTATGCATTAGCGATCCTAAAGTCTTTTGGAGAATATTTAAAACTGTACGGAAGAATTAAGAATAGATTAAACCTAAATAACTAGAAAACAACAGGGACAAAAAAAGCATAGGAGAAAATGCTCAGATTGGCTTAACAAGCTAAGTGAAAATTACATCTCTAGAAAAAAGAATCTAGAAGCTGCAAATTAAAATTTAATTCCTGCATCCGAAAAAGAACAAACAACTCAATTCTGCTCGCTTTTGAAACTCAGCCTAGCCAAAGTCAACAAAATCATTTTATTCTCTCATCAACGCATACAAAAAAGACAAAACCTTAATTGTTATTATAAACTTCAAAGCATGAGAGAAACTAAGTCTATATATATATATATATATATATTCTAGAAGTCACTGTTAGAAATTTGTTCATGACCATCATCACCAATGAAGATATTATCATACACAATGGCTGCAATGGCTGCACCAGTGAAGGGGCCGAGCCAATAGATCCAGTGATGGGTCCATGACCAGCTAACCAGGGCTGGGCCGAAGCTCACTGCCGGGTTCATGGAGGCTCCGTCGAAGGCGCCACCGACCAAGATGTTGGCTCCGACGATAAAACCGATGGCAATAGGAGCAACCACACCAACGTTCCCTTTCTTTGGATCCACTGCAGTGGCGTACACTGTATATACCAACCCAAATGTCATCACTATCTCCATCATTAGAGCGTTCCACACTGAAACTCCTGAAGATAGGGTAAATGCTGATGTTTCCTGCAACATTAATTTGTATGCATTTACAATTACTGATTAGTTTCTGAACTTTTTCCATATACAAACATACATATATATATATACATGTATTTATTTGAATAATTATTTAGGATTTTTTTAATTAAAGGGGCAAGCATTAATAACTTGGAGTTATAAGCAAGATCAAATTCACGACCTCTTAATCACAAGGAAGCTTATATGTTACTAAACTACAAGACCATTGTATAATTATTTAGTTGGTGCTACTAAACTAATACTAGTTTAAAAGCATTGAGTCCCATAGAAGGACACACACACACACACATGACTCTTTTGGATTATATTCTCCCGGCATATTGATTTCATTTGAATTCAAAATAGACGTTGGTTTTAACTTTTAATAGAAGAATTGTAATTATTTAAATATGAAGTATCGAGTTCAAGGTCATATGAATGCAAAAAATGTTTTTAAGAGAGTTAAACCTAATTAGGACTAAGAATGTCCGAATCATAATTAAATAACTATATAAACAAGTATTATAATTAACTCAAGTTAATTTCTTTTAACTTGATTAAATTAATTACTTCCTTTTTGTTTTGTTTTAATGGTGATGTTTTAGAGTTATAAATCAAAAACCAACCAGTATTGATTCACGTGAAAATGATTATGGTAGTTTAAACACGATATCTTAAATTTAAATCGTGTGAATATGGAAAATATTTTTAGAAGAACTAGTACTGCTAATTGAGTCTAATAATATTTGAATGTTCCACAGTTAGATAGTCATGGATGTAATTATTGTAAATCAAAATGATTATTACCAGTCCACCAGTAGCGAACTTAAGAAGCATGCAAGCAACAGCAGAACCGAGCAACTGAGCCAACCAATATAAGATGCTTCTCAAAAGAGTGATGTTTCCTCCTAAGAAAGCACCGAACGTGACAGCAGGATTCACATGGCCTCCAGAAATATTTGCTCCTACTGAAACCGCCACGAACAATCCAAATGCATGAGCTAATGCTGCTACTATCAAACCTTCTGCTGTTGCAGATCCATCCTTCCTCAGCTTGCCTGCAGAATAATATCAGAGAGCGTGAAGATAGATCGAGGATTCAAAAGAAGATAGAGAAGAAGAAGGGGTTGGATAACTGATTACCGTAAGCTAAGCCAGAACCTTGGCCAGCGAAAACGAAGATGAGCATGGAGAAGAACTCCGCGAAGGCTGCTCTAATGGCATCTGGTTGACTCGCTTCTCCCGGAGACCCTACAGCTATTCTGTAGATCGCCATTGATTGATCAAACTACACAAGCCTTAACTGATTTCTTCGATCTGGGTTTTTGGTTTGGTAGAACTGAGCTGATCCTGTGAGTGAGAGTGTGTTTAATTTGCGCTTCAAACATGAGAAGCAGAGTTAACGGCTGGGGAACCGGTCGTCTACCCCTCTTATGATGCTGCCACGTGTAATGGCCTAATGGGACCCACTTTGGCGGGTTTGGTCATTCAAGTTCAAGCGAGAGCCACGGCCGGCCAAGCGTTTCGTAGTTTTCACGCTGGTTTCGTGTGCTGCGGGAGCCACAGGTATGCTGTCATAGGAAATAAGAAGGGAGCAAGAAACCGAAAAAGCAAATGACAAAAAAACTACGAAATGAGGGAATTACATTTTACTATACTATAAAATTTTCGGGAGTTATTTTTTTTATCTTATTTATAAGTGATTTTTAATATGTTTTATTAAAATAAAAAGATTAAAATTTATTAATTATATTTAAAAATTTAATAAATTTTTAACTTTGCTCATATTAAACATACATTAACAATATATTTTTTTTTCTAACATTCAATGAAAGGTAAAAGAAAAAATTTATAATAAAAATTTAATAATAGGACTTATAAATGGACCAATTTTTTTTTTCCTTTCTTCCCTAAAAATAAGATGGGAAGGAGTACATTTTTTGATAGGTGAGATGTTAAAAATGCAAGATATTTTTAATTTTTTAAAGTGTAATTAATGTGTATTTTTTAAAAATGGCCTTAATAGATTAATCATTTTATATTTATTTTTAGTAAAATACCCTATTAAATAAGAGTAAATATAAAAAATATTATTAATTTGAAGATAATTATTTAATTTATTAAAGTGAGATTCAGTTAAAAATGTCTTATATTTTTTAATGAAAAGAGTAAATTTTTTTTGTGATATTACGTTTCTAATTTTAAGTAAAATGATAGAAAATATAGTTGTTAAAATTTAAATTAAATTGTTTATAACCAAAAAAAATTGAAAATGTAGAAAACGTAGTTGTCAGTTTTAGTTTGGAGAAGTCTATTTTTGCCTTTCATACTTTGGGAAAGATAATCTCTATTGTCGAGTTTACTCCTTATATTATAAAAAATTTATTAGCAATTTAATTATGCAATAATAAATATGTTTTTAATATTGACAACTTTAATTTAAACAACAACACAACTAGCCGGTCATATGCAAGATCAACTATGATTCCTAAATTATATTGTTATTAACAACTTTAATTTACAAAATTATGTTAGATAAGTTTATAAGAACTTCAAAATAATTATATTATTTCATGATACTATTTTATCATTTTCTTATTTCTAATTTCTTTTTTTAAATGTAGTCATTTTCCTATTTTAATAGGATTTATTTGTTAAAATGACCACACGCTTTTTTAAATGCTGTCAGAAGAGCATGCTATTTTAATGATCAGGCATCAAGACAATGATGATATATGTGAATTTTAGGTTCAATGTAGTCAATTTGTTTCCAAAGAATGGGGGCTAAGAACAATATATATGCATAATAAAATAAGAATTAAGATATTGGAGGGAATTAAAATGCTTATACTTCCTCCGTTAAAAAATATAACGAATTTTTTGAGAAATTAAATGTTAAAAAATATAAGACAATTTTTATCTTTCAAGGCGTAATCATTACCTTTTTTTTCAAAAGCCTATTGATAGATAACTTTATATTTATTATAGGATATTTAATAGGGATAAACATAAAAAGATAGGGTTAGTTTGAAAGTAGGTAACTACTTTATTAGGGGGTGAGATTCGGTTAAAAATACCTTATATTTTTTAACAAAGGGAGTAATTTTTATTCTATATAGAGCATTTCTTTTTAATATCATAAATTCTCTTCCATTTTATGCATTCAGGAAGAGCTCTCAATAGAATTTTTCACATCACGTTATATTATCTCCCTGTGTATAATAATTAAGTATATAAATAAATATAAAAATTTTAGGATTGGGTGGAAGAAAGAATTATTTAAATTATAAAAATATTATATATATATATATATATAATAATTTTTTCTGAATTATTTTAGAATTTTAAATAAATCACAATTCTTTTCAACTGTTTCAATTATCTTCTAATGATAGATTAACCACTTAGTTTTGTTTTTGGTTTATATATAGTACATGAATATTGAACAAGCTTACATGTTGTGCTATGAAATCTATTTCTTGAAAATTATACTCAAAATAGAAAATATTTTAAAAAATTGGAGTTTACATGATAGTCTTTTTGTTAAAATTTTAGGTTATCTCAATTTATACAAAGATGTTTAAATTAAACATAAATGATGAAAATCAACATAATTAAAAAAAATAAGAGGATCTGGCCAAAATTAGTTCTACTAATATAAGAATTTATCTCACCCATTTCAATGTACTAATGGAATTTATCTAAGTTATTACTTGTGGCACTGATTAAAGAGAGAGGATCACATAAACGATATTAATTTTTCTATATAAAAGACCAGGAATTTGTTTCAAGCTCAATTATTTATTGCTTTGTCATATAAAAATCAAATGTGAATTTCAATAATACATTTATACTAGTGGAGGAAAATTTCACAAAAGTTACCTTTCCCGTCAATCTTGCATCTGTGTAAGGAAGATTATGTACAACAATAATTCTCGATAACCTTATTTTATTTTTTATTTTTAGCTGCTTCCCAACCTACCAGAATACTTTAGATAGTTTGCTGTTTCTTCGTCAACAAGGACAGCAATGCCTGAACAATGAAATAGCTTAGACTATTTGGATTGATGTCCTAGCAAATAAAGCTGCGTTGCAGAGCAAATCAATGAACGATGAGAAGGAGCGGCAGTGGAAGAGGAAGGATGAGGGGAGGGATCGAAGACAGAGCAAAGGCGTGTGGGGAGGAACGGCGAGCAAGAACACAAAAGACACTGATTGAGGAATGAAGAAGACGAGCTAGCTTTGACATGGCTCCATCCTGAAATTAAGGATTAACAATCTGATATCAGTCGCTTGTTATCAAGGTTGGCAAACTCACGAATTTAAGCAAATTCAAGACAGAAATATAAATTGGGATCATAAACTTGTAAGAGTTTATTTTTATTAATAAATAACTACTAAAAATATATGATTAAATAATAAAATATAAAATTTGATCATAATTTGATTTAAATACATTTCAAATATAAATTGCTGAAATTAAATTCATCTTAAATTATCATATAAAACATATAAATTTTAGGATAAGGTAACTTATTTTTTGGTATTTTTTGTTTTTCTTTTTTATTAATATTATTTTTTTCTTTTTAAGTGTTTTCTCTTTTTGAACCAGGTCTTATCACTTCTGTGAACTACGTTCTATGTAGTATGTACTTAATTCACTTAACTTAGTGAAAAATTGATGAATTTAATAAGTTTAACTAAATTTGTATCCAGTTCAAGTTTATTAATTAGTTGACACAATTTTGTAAATTAAAAATGTAAAAACAATAAACTCATAAGCTTAACCAAGTTTGTATTTAATTTGAGTTTATGAGTAAGTTGACACAATTTTATGAGTTAGAAATGTAAAATCATTAAATTTGAAAAGTTAACTCAAGAGTTTGACAACTTTGATTGTTATGTGCTAGGGAAAATTAATCTTTTAGTCCTTTAACTTTTAACTTACTTGTAACTCAGTCTCTCAATTATAACTCGCTGCAACTCAGTCCCTCAACTTTTGATTTACCTATAACTCGATCCTTATTTTTTTAAATTTTTTTATCAAATAAGAGGGATAAAAAAATGCTCATATATTATTTTAAAATATTCTCTTCTTATTCATTAATGTGAGATATAAGTTAACATGAAAAAAAAAGTTAACAAAGGTTAAGGGACTAATTTGTAAGTGATTCAAAAGTTGAGAGACTGAATCATAGGCGAGTTATAGTTGAGGGACTGAGTTACAGCGAGTCATAATTGAGAGACTGAGTTACAAGTAACTTAAAAGTGGGAGGATTAAAAGATTAATTTTTTCTTAAAAATATTAAAATTCTAATACACATCTTAGACAATTAATTCTTTAAGCGTTCAATATGCTTCCCCGCCTTTACTTATTGGACGGTTGTGAATATAATCATCAAATGAGAGGTGTCATATATAAGTAATATTGTACGATAATCATCAAATGAGAGGTGTCATATATAAGTAACATTGTACGATAATCATCAAATGAGAGGTGTCATATATAAGTAACATTGTAGGATAGTGAATCCGTGTGATAGTCTCAAAACGTTTAATCCATATCTCAGCTACTGCTAGTGACAATAAACCACATAAAAAATGTCAGTGATAGAAACTTATACAAGAACTTTTGGTGGAAGAAGCAATAGCCTATTTACCGTTTGAGTATTGATCCTTTGAAAAATGCAACCAATAATGTTGTAAAGACATTGCCAATTCTCATGCAATTTGTGTGTTTATATAAGGAAAAACATGTGTATCTATATTTGTTAATTTATTTAATTTTCCCTCATTGTTTTAGTTTGATTTGTGCCCTCAATAAATTCGAAGTTAATGGTGACTTCAAAGCTTTTAAATGAAAAGTTGGCAAAGCAAAACTGAGTACAAATTGTCTAGGCTGTATCTTCATTCTTTTTTATAAATTCTTTTTAATCTAACCACACAAATTAAAAGGGGGTTACAATTAATTAAGATTAAGAATCATAAACAACTCACAATAGTTCATAAAATATCTTATAATAAGAAATATTAATAATTTTAAAAGGAGCCTTATGTATATTATATAGCAATTGGGGTTATTGAATTTGTTATAATTTTCATTTCATATATCTCGGATGAATGCGTGTTTAATAAAGTACAACTTTTTTTCAAAATTAAAGTCTTATTTTTTAAAATTAAATTTCATATCTGACTTTTTACATAAGGTATCGCTGCTTCTTCTATCATGGATTAAAATGCGGTCTAAAGTTTTATCCAATGGTCAAAAGTCTTACAAATTTTGGTATCATTACTTCTTTTAACTGTTGATTACATCAAATGGCATAAAATTGTCATTCAATAAAAATGAAATTCTGTTCTTACATTTTAATTTGTTCGCATTTTATTTTTGGTTCTTGTATTTTTTTAATATTTTAAGTTTTTATATTTTTATTTTTTATTGTTCTAGATTCCTTCAAAGTTTCTATACTTTGTTTATAGAAAAATTTAAAATAAAAAAATAAAATTATAGGGACTTGAAATATTAAAAAAAATTGTAGGAATCAATAGCAAAATACAAGTAAATGTAAAGCTTAAAAGTTATATTTTTTAATAAAAATTTAGAAAATACTCCTCAAATCCTATTCATGAGGTACTTTCAACATTTTTTACTGGAATAAAATTTTTTTAAAAACTCATTAATTTTGTATAAGCATGTAATAAATTTTTAATTTTATTCCTATTAAATATATATATATATATATATGTATATATATTAACAATATATTTTATCTCTTCAATATTATTAAATGAAGAAATTTACGACAACAATTTAATGAGATAACTTATAAATAAAACAAAAAAAAAATTCTCTCCCTACTCTGTAAGTAAGACCAAAGTAAGTATCTTTTTTAATGGGTTATTAATTAATATTGTCTTGAAACCACTTAGTGAGTCTATCAAACTACCGTTTTGTGACCCAATCATATAAGTTTGTTTAATCAATGACTAACATAATCTTAAATTCACAAAATTGACAGCCAAATTTAAAGGATTTTTATCCTTCTATTAGAATAACATTTATCAACAAGATCTTCCACAATAAAATTTCTCCCAATCTGATGTACGATGAATTAAATCCTTATCATTTTAAATAATATTTATTTTAAAGAATATATAACTTTTTTTATTATATAGAGAAGAATGACATGGAGGTCAAGAGCACAATTTATAAATTAAAAATATGATACACTCAACTCTGTTCATGACCTTATCTATTAATTATTTTTATATAGTTATGTTTGTTTAGTCAGATTCAACTAATGATTGGATTTAATTAAAGGTAATCATCCAAAAAAATAACTTACTTCACTGAGATTTGGTTATCCATTAATCATTTATACTAGACTCTTTGTGAGAAGTTGTAAAAATGTTTATATTTAATTAATTTCCTTAATTAAAAAAGTTAACAGGTCTCGGAAAAACAAGATGAGGAAGTGAATTAAAGCATTATCCAAACCAAAAGAATCCAAGCCAAAAAAAAAAAAAAAGTGTACTAAAGAGCGGATCTTCTTGTCACGATGACCACAAGAGAGAAAAAGTTCAGTATATCCGTTTCTGATTATTCATTATCAAATATGGTAGCTTCCTCAATCTCTCTGAGTTGCTTTTCGCCATGTTTATCCCACAAGGTTTGTCTCTAACATGAATTAATTTTAATTTCTGACCTTGTTCTTCGATTTTATAATTGAATGTATCATCATTCTGCATTTTATGTTTCAGTTCAATTACTTGTCCCATTCGAATGAATCGCCCCGCAATACTGCGATTTCATCGTTTAACGCCGTCGTTGCCGGAACAGAGACAGCCTCCGACGGCGATGATGGACAGAGTAAGAACCTAACCATATTATGCGACTGAAAATGGAGTTCCTGGAACACTATCACTTAGATTTCTGGATTAATTTACTATGCTGATGAATCAGAAGGGTGTTTTGTTTCGTTGTTGATCCCAATTCACATTCCTACGATCAGAAAACAACACTTCCCTTTGTTTCTCCCTCTTTCTGAAATGGTATGGATTTGGTCGAAATTTTTGCTGGGTCTCGCGTAGATAAATTTTTAATGAACTCTTTTTCAAGTTAATTTTTGTGGATTTGATGCTCATTATTCACTCTTCAAGTCTAATTAATTAATTCCTTCATCTCGTTTTTATCCAAAATTTAACGGTGAAGTTGAGAGTTTAGTTTCACTTTTCTTCTTAGCTCTCTTAATATATTGGAATGATTTACCCAAAATAAAATTAAAATTAGAAGTTCACATTATAAAAGTAAGATCTTCATTTAAATTTTATAAGTTGTTTTGAAGTTGTAGGGCACGTACAGAGAAGGCCTCTATTGTTAGGACTCGGAACACTAACTGCAAGTGTTCTCCCTGCAACTTCCCTCAAGGCTGAAGGTATTTATTTGTTCTTCTTCTTGTTTTATGATCCATGAATTTCTTACACGTTACTTATTTAAGCTCAATTGTTTAAATCAGATCTTGACAGTTTAGATTTTATTAAATTTTCATTTTTAATGATAGTATAAATCGTCTATAAAGACCTAATCTAAATGATCTAAATAATTTAGATAAAATGCGTACCATGCATATCTCTAAAATCTTATATTCATGATTTTGCAGAAATACCAGCAAAGTATAGAGAATTTGTGGACTTTACAGATGGGTATTCCTATATCTATCCTTCAGATTGGAAGGTACAAGAAGTCATATTCATTAATTAATTAATTATCACGAAATCATATTTGAAAATTGAAATGCACGTGATTTTAATTTTATCTGAACAGATTAGTATGAATGATCTCCTTCCTTGATTAATTCCTAGGACTTTGACTTCAGAGGGCATGATTCTGCATTTAAAGACAGGTATTTGCAACTACAAAATGTTAGGGTGAGATTCATACCAACTCAGAAAAAAGATATCCATGATTTGGGTCCGATGGAAGAGGTAATACTACAATGATTCTCAATTTTAAGTCAGAACTACTGAGTCCCGTGCAGTACACAAAGTCTGAGAAATGAGTAACACTAGCTATAGTTTATAAAAATTGCAAATAGGATACTCTAGAGTGTTACATGGACCATGGTAATAAGGCACGAGTGTGTCTACTACTGTGAGATCCGCGTGTGCAGAAATGAGACTCATTATTTTATTCTTCTCTCTCTTAACTTTATCTATTTGAAGCATTTCAGAGGATCCAAATAATTATCAATTTTAATTCAAGATTAAAGGAAGACTAAGGAAATTGCAGTCCCTTTAGGCTCTTGTTCATGCCTAACCAATATGTACCATAACTGTGAAGCAGGTTATATACAACTTGGTGAAGCATGTATATGCTGCCCCAAACCAAAGACCAACAATATATGACATGCAAGAGGTACCCTATTCATTTGGTTTCTTCTCTTAATTATTTTCGTTTTCCTTTTCTTTTTTTCCCCTAAATCTGTTGAAAGTCTCAAAGATCCAAAGTTATTACAATGAGAATAATACACACACATACTGAATGACTACAATACAGAGAAGTGTAGATGGGAAAAATTACTACACATTTGAGTACGTGCTCACATCACCAAATTACTCAAGTGCTTCATTTGCAACAATTGGTATAGGAAATGGTAAGTAACCTCATCTTGCCTTTTCAAAGTCTGTATCCCTCCATGAAATTAATAACTATTGATATTGATGAAAATGAATTCATTGCTTATATACTTCAAGTATTTTATTCCATTTAAATCAACACAAACAGCTTTTTCCGTATATTATTTTTTCTATAACTAACTATTATTATTAAGATCGTGAGTTTATTTCTATATTTGAAATCACCATTTTCTGATTTGATTTGGCACGAGTGTGTATATATATGTATGTATGTATATCTAAGTATCCATCTTCCCTGTATATAATTTTGCCTCTGTTTGATAACATAAATTAGAATATAACTTATATAATAAGCCTTAGTAAATTGATTATCGCTCTCTTTTTTTTGTGGGTAATCAATTGAGTATTGCTTTTGTGTAATGTCATGATGGTGCTAATGAATGGCGAATGCCATACAGAAAGGTATTACACATTAATTGTTGGGGCCCTTGAGAGGAGATGGAGAAGAGTAAGAGATAAGCTGAAAGTGGTTGCTGATTCCTTCAAGATACTAGACATATGAAACTATATCAGTGTTTTCCTAAAGGCATGTTCTAATTTATTTATAGATTAAGGTTAAAATTTATGTATATCAGAAGTAAAATATGAACTGTTTTGCCAATCATACCATGGGGGAAAATTTCAAGTTGGCTTGGAAAAATCGTAGTTGTCTTTTGAATTGACTGATTCAAATTTAATTATGTAAAAATTAATAACGCATATTATTAATTTTAGAAACCAGTAATAATAGTTATTGTTATTATCTTTTTTACATTATATAAACAAGAAATTTTTAGATACACCTAGCGCACCATATCATCTATGATCCATCTAATAAAAACATAATATTTAAATAATATTTAATATAAATTAATTATGTAATTAATGATAGTATAGAAAGAAAATGCAAAAAATTAAATAGATATTTTATTACAAAATAAAATAATTAAAAATATTGACATATAAAATCATTGAATTTGTTTCTATTTGAAGTCATTTTTGTTGAAATATTTAAACATTTCTTCATTTTGGATGCGGAACTGTTTTTATTTTTATTTTTATATAGCTTTATTTTTGTGTAAAAGTTAAAATAAATTAATGCAATGTTTAGTATATAAAAAAGTACTTTTCAGAAAAGAAATAAGAAATGTACACATTCTATTTTAATTTCAGGTATATCTTCTATTTTATTTGAAGAAATATTTTTTTCGTCCACTAAACATACTATAAATTTTCTTATGGTAGAATTTAGATTAATAGATTTAGATTTAAATTTGAATTTAAAATCTTATATTTCAAATCTCATGTTTGAAATCCATATATTAAAAAAATTTATTTGAATAATTTTTAAAAAAATTATATGAAGAACAGATAAATTAAAATTTAAAACAAAAAAAAAATTGAAATGACAAATTTATTTTTATTTTTTAATCAATAAAAGATATAAAAGTTATGAAGATATTAATAATGAAAGCATGAAAAGCACATGATGTTTGAAATAATTAAAATTTAAAATGATTAAGATCTAAAGAAAATTTAAAATTACAAATAAATTATAATTTAAAATAGATTTAAATTTAAATCAAATTCAAATTCAAACATTTGTTTATTCAAATGACAAATTTGATTCAAATTTAAATTTTCATCAATCCAATCACATCATATTATTATATCTTACATAAAAAATAAAACTTACAAGCTTATAAATGTAACAATACTTCACGTAATTTGTATGTAACACACTAATCAGAGTCTAACAGCCAACCCCATCAACTAACTTGTCAATATGATACTAACCTGATTAAGCTTTAACATAACTAAATAAATGGCAACACAGATACGGTGCAGAATCTCAATATAAAGCAATTCTCCAACTCTTGCCCTTTTCTTTTCTGTTCATTTTTTTCATTTTTTGCCCACTTTTCCGAACAGTAAACAGACAAGAGCAACAAGAAAATCCACCATGAAGTAGCCATAAGAAGCGTTGTTAACCTTTATACTGAAAACCAAAAACACAATCTCGAAAGGCAAAACACAAACAAAGCTGCTACAATTCATACATTCAGAAATCTAGAATGCATTCTTCCATGAATGCATTCCAAGAAAAATTAATACAAAAAGATCGTAACTGTATAAAACCCAAATCCCAACTTTATACTTTTTTCCTTCAATACCCTCCAACGTATTATATACACTCACTTGTGTTTAACAAAGTCCTATAAATATTAAACAATGGGGTGGGTTGACCCCAGCCTTGCTATAATGCATGCAAGGGTCCCAGTGCTGATGCAGGATGCAATGCGTGTTATCATTCATACAGTTTTGTGCCATTACAAGTCAAAAAGATTGAAACAGAATTCAAAATAATCAAACACCTACAAAGTTTGACTCGTGAAAAAAGGACACTCTTGGATTTAAGCATAAAAAGGAATTCCTCGGCTTCTAAGCTATCACTATTTATATACAAAGGTTACAACTCTTCCACCTAATTTTTCTACAAATTTCACAAATGAAAATATAAAAATTACAGTAAGGAATGATAAGTTCAACATCAACATCCATGCTCGTCAGTAGAGTGAAACAGAAGTTCAACCAAGGAAATCAAAACTCACATTTCAGTAGAATTAGTATGGTTCCACCCTGCCTTCTTCAAAAACAAATTAATATACCAAGGAGACAAACACCACCCAGTCTAAAATGCTTGCCTCCAAAAGAATATGCATCCAACCCAAATCCTCAGACCAGCCAGACACCAAAATCCTATCTTCAAATTCTACATATCTATCGCCACTATAATGTCCTCTTCCCTAGCCTGCTGATGCCGCTGGCTTATCCAAGCTTTGTTCCAATTTTTTGCTGCTCACAAACTTCCACCTGACCTTTTAAGAAATATCCCATTGAATCACCATGAGTTATTCAACTCAAGAATAACAAGAAACTGTCTTGTGAACCAAAATTAGTGGCAATTACTTGCATGCTCCCTAAACAAGTCGATGCTGACGCAATGCCTTTCCAAAGTGAGGTTGCATCAAACGAACATACAGTCCATTTTTCGCCACCAATGAATCATGGGTCCCCTCCTCTACTATTCGTCCTCCATTGAGCACTACAATGTTATCGACGTGCCTCATCATTGCAGCCCTATGCGCTATTAGGATGGTCGTCTTGTTTCCCATTATAAGAGTGTCCAGAGCTTCTTGCACCACTCGACTTGACTCTGATTCAATTGATGAACTAGCTTCATCCAACAACAAAATAGGTGCATTCTTTAACACTACCCTTGCTATTGCAATTCTCTGTTTCTGTCCAGGCGTTAAGTCAACACCTCTCATTCCAACATGAGTATCATAACCATGGGGCAGGCTGCTAATGAAGTGGTGAGCATTTGCTATTCTTGCGGCCTCTTTCATCTCAGCTTCGCTGGCATTATGCCTTGCATATATGATATTTTCCCTAATGGTAGTTGAGAAAATAATAGGCTCCTGCTGAACTAAACCAAGGTGGCTCCTCAACCATCTCATGTTATATAGCTTTAAATCCCTCCCATCTAATAAAACTTGACCAGCCACTGGATCATAGAATCTCTCCATCAAAGATATTATAGTGCTCTTTCCTGACCCTGAAACTCCAACAATGGCAACTGTTTGGCCCCCATTGACTTTGAGACTGAAATTACTCAATACCAAAACTTCGGGACGAGATGGATAACAAAAATCAACATTTTTCAACTCAATGCTTCCATAAACATTGGGTGGCTTCAATGCTGAGTTATCATCAGGGTCAATTTTAGGTACCCGGTCTATAATTTCAAACACTGAAATGAGAGATTTACGCCGTTTAAGTATGTAAGGAGCCAAGCCAAAAGGCTCCACAAGTGCAAATGTTGCAAATGAGAAAACCATATATTCCTTGAGCGCAGTAGGTGGATCCATATAACTGTTTTTTATGCATATGGCAGTGTACCAAAGCAAAAGGGCATTACAAGCAAAAAGAAGAAACTGTGAAAAGCCAAACGCAAAACCAATGGCCACCCCATGCAAAAAGCTCTGCTTAAATATTTTCTTTAACTGCAGCCTATAGAGCTCCATTACCTTATTGCCAGCACAAAATGCCACAACAGTGTAAATATTTCTAACTGCATCTTCAAGAACCAAAGATGCCTTTCTGTGCATTTCCTGTATTCCCCTCGAAAATCCAGCAAGCCATAATTTCTGCAATTTTGAAGTAAGTTCCCTTAAATTAATACTGGTTAGCAAAAGAAAGGATATTATCGGCCACACGAAATACATACACAAGGTTTTCAAAACCCTTCCATGTTACACACATATTAAACTGTCATTTGGCTACCTTAAAAATGGCAAGATGCTTAACATTCATGCATGCCCAAAAATAGTTTCAACTTCCAACATCAAAATATGTTTAAACAATCACAACAGAATTCTGATTAAGCATAATACAGGATGTTAATTTTTGTTTTGGAGTGATAGACACACATGAACTTATTAATCTTTCCTTTTTCCAACATTTTCATTTTAAAGTAATGGTAAATCTCACACAAAGCTACAATTCTGGGTTTATGAATTGTTATTGACGGTAACAAAATGCCTACTATAAGATTGGCTTTGTAGTGAAAAAAACAAGTTTCCGCTTGGTATCCTGAAAATGGGCCTAAGGAAAGGGAAATCAGCCTCTCTTTCCCTCCTTTGGACTGTTTGGTAGCCAAAAGATTGCCTCCTAGGGAAGCTGATGTATAATTTGTAATTAAGTAAAGAAGTTAGTTAGTTAGTTAGTTAGTGGTTAATGACCATTAGTAGGTAAAAAGAGTTAGGTATAGGCTACTACTATATAAAGATCAAGTGGTTGATGCCATAAAAAGGCCTTCTCGTTGAGGTGAAGACTCACCATCATGACCTTCCAATCTTTTGGGGTGTTGTCTGACTAGAAGTAATGCTCGCACTTGAGAATCCACCCAAGGATACCTGGCTGCTGTAAACGTGGGAACTCCCATCTTGGTCAATCTCGTGGGAGGTTGATCATCTTTGTGCTTTGTTTGTGGCCTCCCATTCCTATCATTGTTGCTTGTACTGCCCACACCCCCCCCCCACCCAAAAAAAAAAAAAGCAGAGTCCCCTTTTTCACAAACAAGCTGTGCAACCTAAGCAGTCAAAGCTTGGAGTGCTCTAGGTAAAGAAGAAAACTTTTGTAATTCAACAGCATCAAAACATTCTTCTGAGCTCTCAGCCATCTCGCAGTGATTTCTTTACAATCTTCTCCTGGCATATAAGCTGAAGATCGTCAGCTTTGATACCACTGACATGTAGTGGTAGGAAGAATGTGAAGAAAGGAAGAGAAAGGAGAGAGAGTAGGAATTCTGAATAGTACTCTGTTTAATTCTCCAAGCATAAGTTCTGATGTATACACTTCATCTTTATAGAGTAGTAGCCTATACATAACTCCTTTTATCTCCTAAAGGTCATTAACCACTAACTAACTTCTTATTTAATTAAGGGAAGGCCTCTTCCCTCAGAGACTTAATGATTCTAACCTCCTCAGAGCTCAGTGTCTTCTGGCTCATCACTCACAAAGCCTTCTCCATCCTCACTAATCTTCAATTTTGGTTCGTTCATTGGGTTCGAATATGTGGCTCTCACTGTCTCAGGCTCTCACCATCTCTCCCTC